TTTTTTTTTTTTTTTTTTTTCACTTTGTCACAGTTCTATTGCACAGTGCATTACCACAGATCATAGTAATCACTGCTGATATTGACCAAGTAACCCCCACATATGCTATTATATGCCACTGGATATAAGAACATAGCAAATATTTATAAGATAACCATTACATCAAGAGCACATAGTAGGTGTTCCTACAGTTAGAAGATAAGTAAGACATAGTCTGCTCCCAGGAAGTTCACTATCCAAAAGGAGCCAAGGCACACAAATAGAAAACACTCGCTGCCATCAAGTCAATTCAGACTCATAGTGACCCCAATTAGGTTTCCAAGGCTGTAAATCTTTTTGGAAGCAGACTGCCTCATCTTTCTTCCACAGAGTGGCTGGGGAGTTTGAACCACTGATCTTTTGGTTAGCAGCCAAATCCTTTAACCATTACACCACCAGAGCTCCTTAGAAAACATAGGTCTGCTGAATGGGTACCAGTCTTTTAAAGAAATTGAGTAAACAAAGTACTTTGATCTAACAATGATCTACAGACTGCTATTCAGACTGAAGTTTAGATGAACCAGTGTTGCATCATAAAGGGAGAGTTGTGGACTTAAAGCCAAGTGACTTTGGTGTTAGTACTAGCTCTGTTAAATAACATTGACAAAGTCTTCTAAATTCTTTGGGCCCCACTTTCCTAATCTTGGGAGTAAAGAGATTGATCACATGACCCCAAAGGCCTACCAGCATTAACATTTTTCATGTTTCTTAAAAACATTAAGGAAGCAAAACTTAAGGGAAACTTTTCAACTTTTAGCCTCCACAAATGTCAGTCTGAAAGCCTCCCCATTTATTCCAAAATGTGCCTTAATTTAAGAAGTTCACCTAGAGGGATAGTTTAAAATGATCATTGATTAATTAATTATTCTTTCCTCATCACCAAAAAGCAAAGACAGTTTGCTTACTCTTTCTACAGTAGTACAGGATTTATTTAAACCTGGCTTGCATCCCAGTATACCCAATTCATCTTATTTAGACTCATTAGTGTATTAAAACTAGCCCTGTGGGTTAAATACATTCTCAATTTTGGTTTATCCATAGCTCTTGCTTCTCTTTCCTCACTTATCAGCATTTTCACCAACTCAGTGTTCATTCAAATTATGGGAAGGCAAAGAAAAATGAAACTAAAGACCAGCCTTTTCTTATATTTTACTAGTGTTTGTGCAGTAAATGCCTCTTAAAACACGGCAGATTCAGGTACAGCACTGACCAGATAGTTTTGCCTAAAATAACCACAGGCAATAAAATCCTAACTGCCAGAAGATTTTTAATTCTGTGATCCCATGCCACTATAATAATATGTAAAAATTTAAATTACAATAATACAAGAAAGTGGTATTAATAACTATGCCTAGTGCATATTTTCAGGAGTCCATGCTGGAAGGGAGGCTCACTTCTCATGCAATGCCATTTTTTATTGTTTGCAGATTTACCATGTACTTGCATAAGGTTTATTATAATAAAAATTAAAAAGCAATATTAGCCAACATTTATTGCACACCAGGCCTTTTATATGCATTAACTCATTTAATCTTCTCAACAACCCTAATATAATTAAAAAATAAAAAGTTTCTCCATTTTATAGATGAAGAAACAGGGAGTTAAGAAAACATGTTCAAGGACATACACCTGTTAACCAAACTGACATTTTTATGGTGATAAAATCATGTTACAGATATCAAATAAATAAATAAATAAAGCTGTTGGAAGTTAAATTACCATACAAAGGTGAAGTGCGAGTGTTCTACTAATAAAGGGGCAAGTTTACTAGGTAAACATTTGACAAATTTGCAACAGTAAGTCATGTGGAAACAGATTGAGCTTTGGTCTTGTAAATCTTGGGTTTTCATTTGTTCTTTCTACAAGTTCAATTCCTCCGCTACATTGGTAAAATATTTTATTGCAATTGGAAGCTGTAAATCTGGGGGAGTGATGGAGATGGACAGTTGATGACCTATGTTTACCTTTCCATAAATGGCTGGAAACCTACTAGCCTTTCCCCTATTCCTGTAGATCCAAAGATCAGTAGTGTGTCTGGGTTGCCATTTGTAGTCCATTTCCTTCCCACACCCACAGAAATGAACCTGTGCCTTTAGACGAAGAATAAAGTATGTTGTGGACCATCCTCAAGTTTCCAGCTCTATAGATTGGGTCAGCTGAATCACCCTTCCCGACCTAACTCAAACTTCTAGAAGCTAGCCTATTAAGGGCCCGACTCTTTGTAACTAACCAGCTCTTCAAATACCTGGAAAACATAAATAAGCTTCAGAAGACCAACAGAAGTTATTTTAGCAACAGATAAAAGTATCACAAAACACTTTTTGTTCTTCTTCATCCATATTTTCTTTTGGTTCAATTTTCATATCTAGCTGAGAGAAAAAGGAACAGGAAATGTTTTCTGTACTAAAGATAGCAGACATGATTTACAGTGACAAGGTGTAATAATTCACACCCTACCATGAACCTCAGAGACACCAGATGCTCATTTTCTGATATATTCCCAAGCCTTCATTAGCTTTAGTCTTAAAATGACCATATCTCTCTCCAGGAAACTCCCATCTTGTGTACAGATTGGATGTATTGTGGATATATTTTTCCAATCACTGTTTCATCCAAAATTACATATTGAACATTTACTGTGTGTCAGATACTCTTCTAGATGGTAGAGAAATAGCCAGGAACAAAGTAGAATAGGCAAATAATATGTATCTTCATGGAGCTCATAGTCTAGTTAGGGGAGGGAAGCAATATCAAAATTAATAAGTAAATTGTATAGAATGTTAGAAATTCACAATGTTAGAAGGTTCAAGTGCTCACACACTAAGAAAAATAAAGCAGAGAGTGCTCCCAGCTGAGGTTGCAAATTTAAATAGAATTGTTAAGGAAGGCCTCACTGAGAAGGTGACCTTTGAGCAAACGCTTGAAGGTGATGAGGGAGTATCTGATGAAGGGGTATGTGGATATCTGAAGAGCGATTCTTGTGGACAGAGGAAACAGTGAGTGCAGAGGCCGTGAGGCAGGAGAAGTAATGGGGGCCAGATCTTGTTGTGGTTAATCTTGTTGTTGTTCTTGTTGTATGCTATTATCCTGTAGGGCTCTGCAAACCATTGTAGAAATTTGGCTTTTACTCAGTGTGAGATGAGGAGCCATTCATAAGTTTTGAACAGAGGTGTGATAATTATCTGATTTCAGTTTCTTATAGAAACAATACTAATTGTGAGACAGGTTCCCCGAACAACCCACCAAAGCTCATTTAACCCATATTATCATCGAACCAAGGTACTAAATCAGACTCTTAAAATGAGCTCAGAACCCTAGATTTAGACCCAGGCAGCAGGGATTTGAGTGGAATGAGTGTGGGCAAGCCAACTGAGATCTCTGAGCTGGTTTTCCTCATCTGAAAAATAAAGATAAGCAATACCTGCCTTGTTGTTTTATTTTGAGGATCTGGTGAAAACTGAATGTAGAAGCACTATGTAAATTGTAAAGCACTTATATAAATATCAAGGGAGGTCCTGATAGCCCAGTGGTTGTGATGTGCCATTATTTCAGGGAAAATTAAGTCCAGGTCAGAAGGCAGAATGCCAGGAATACAGTCTTCCTTTTCCATCCTTTCTTATTAAATAGTCATGAAGATGGTGCCTCTTCCTCCCTTCTTCTCTAGCACTGGGAGTTGAGAGGGACAAGGCTCCTGGCTGATCTCAACAGAAGGTACCAGGTGGGCTCCCAGCTGGATCAGTCATAGCTACAGGCTGTTTATAGATAGAGGTCTCCTTGAATGGTTGCTCTTCTCTGTTGCCAAAGGATTGTGCTAGTGGAGCATCATGTCCTTACCCCTCACTGACCCCTATACCCCTCCAATTCAGGCTATAGATGCACTGGGCTGTCCTCTGTTGGGCAACATCTCCAAAGTAACCATAGTCCTCTTCTCCTTCCCCACAGGCATTCCTCCTACGGAAGGCTTTTGGATGACCATGATTACGGATCCTGGGGAAACTACAACAACCCTCTCTATGACGACTCCTAACAAAGGACCATGGACTGGGATGAGGAATAACTGTTCTTTATTTATAAGTGCTTCTCCAGTAGAATTAATAACAAGTACCTGATGCTCATTGAACGACAATCTTAAATTCTGTTTTGTTGGTATGGTTGTTTTTGTTTTCCTCCCTTTCCTCTGGCTGCTTCAACTCCCCCATTCTAAGGCAAAAGGAAGCGATTCTTAACAGCGAATTGAGGCCTCCATGGTGGAGGCGGCTGCAATCATGACAGGACCCACTGTGAGAGGGAGTGAGGAAGAGGGACTTGGTTAATTTTGTATGGGTTCCTTTAAGGGAAGCTTTTTGTTCATGGTATTTCTAAACTTTTCTGTAGGAAAGTACTTTAAATATCAATGAAAGGAAAGGAAATGAGGACTGGAAGGAATTCACTCTGCCTGTGAGGAAAGCAGGGGTTTCTTGGATTCCTTCTTAATTTCTGTTCAGGTGGTTGTGCCTGACAGGATGCCCTTTCTGCTGGACAAGCTAGATACCAGCTTCTTAACTGCCTAATTAATTAAATGAAAATAGAAAGTGCCCTGGGGGAGGCCACAGGCCAAGAAGCAGAGTAGCAGGTTACTGTCAGATCTCAGTAAACCCCCCTCTATCTGTGCTCCCCTCCAGCCTCCTATCTCAGCTAAGGATGCCAGTTCTATTTCACTTCACCTGGAATCCTAGCCCACAGCTTTCAGCAGAGTTACATTTCAAAGGATAATGCTATGAGATGAGCTTAAGTATTGAAGGGAAAGGAAGAGATGTGGGAGGTATGTGCTAGAGGAGTGGAGAAGGCTAGGAGAGAAAGGAGGTTAGTAACATGCACTGAGGCCCTCATTAGGGAAGTGGGAATAAGCTCTCGATAACTGTCAGAGGCATCCACTACTTGAAGGAACCCATAGTATCCTTGCATCATACCCATAAAGCAACTGGTTCACTGCCATCCTGTCTGTTGGGTAGTGGCTATAAGTTGCTTTTGTTGTTGTTGTTTTTAGGTTTGGTTTTGTTTTTTTTTTTTAAAGACACTAATGTATTGGCATTTGTCACTGAGACATTTCCATAGGAAACCAACACTGTGGTTAATCCATTTATTTTTCTTATACTTTTAACTTACACGTTCTTCTCTTTAATAAATCGGTAGATGATCTAAAATCCTGCATAGCAAATTCTGTGAAAGAACTGATTATCCTTTTAAGCATTTATTTCAGTGATTCCCAATCAGCAGGTAATTTTGTCCCCAGGGGACACTACTGAGTAGAGACTAGGGATACAACTAAACAGTCTACAGTGCATAAGACAGCCCACCAAAACCAAGACTTTTCTGGCCCAAAATGAGAAACTCTGTTCCCTTATGATAGAGCAAGACACTCACAGATTAGTTTTTTTTTTTTTTTTTTTTTTAACGAAATGAAATAATGTGTTATTTTTTTCTATTGAAAGTGTTGAGTCTATTGGTTGCAGGTTGTTTTGGCATGTATGGTTGCCTTTTTATTTCTATGTGTTTGCTTAATAGCTTTATTTCACAGCTACCGCTCTGTCCCCTTATAACTTAAAATATTAGCAACCAACATCTTATGTCCTGGTTTCATGTAGTAGAAAACATAGGTCAGGTCCTTTTTCAAAATGTGCTATATTGTCCTTCAATGTCACAAAAAACTTGAAACTGGGTTTTTATTTCTAAACTTGGACTTGCTGCCATGACTGTTTAGTTTACAGAAACTTTACGCTCAGCTCCTCCTGTCACTCACTGTGGTTCAGCAAAGTCCTGACATGAAAACCACCATTACAGTACTTTTCTAAACCTTTTTGGTGTCAGGGACACCAGAGCATCACTGCTTTCCACAACCTGTCTCCCGCACACCCCACTTGAGGCATTATTTCCAAACTCCCTAGGTGCCAAAAGAGAAGAAGCAACCCCCAGAGGCAGTGGGTAATGAGGAGTAGGCTTCTAAAATTATGACATCTCAGAATATTAAAAAAAAAAAAAAAAAAGTGAGTCTTTTCCCAAAATGGCCAAGAATGACCAAAGGTACACCCTCTGGTTGTAATTGCTCTGGATAATTACCCCTCTTTCCTAACCTCACCCCCTTCACAGGGCTTTCAATTTGGCAAAAGACAAGTCAATAGAAACAGAACATTCCCTAAGTTTTGTCTCCCTCAGATAAAAACATTTTGACAAAATGTCCATAAGACGTCTTTTGAGAGATACACTTCTGGATGTGGCTTCAGTCATAAATGCTGGGTCAGAGGGACCTGCCTTTTCGCAGGGAACCCTGATCAATTATAAACCACAGAATAAGCAACAGCACCTGGTGGGTTTGTTGCTCTTATTAACTTCAAAACCCTTATAGTGAAAAGAGGGATCTCAGTCTAACATACATATATTCAGGTGGATAACAGCCTCCCATGAGAGTTCTAATGACTCTTCATTATGCTAATATAAAGTACCTAAGGGTTGAATTTTATTTAGCTAAATGAATTTTCTGCCTTTGAGTTGGCCAAAATATTTTTGCAATTGTGTTCTGCAAATGTTACTTAAAACCAGGGCTTCAAACCAGTTAATTCTGGTTTGACTCCCTGCTGAGAATTTGCATTTCCATCCCAGATGCACTGAATCAGAATCTACATTTATGTACACATAGGAGTTACCTGAGAATCTGTAAGAATCATCTGTGGATCCTGTTAAAATGTAGATTCTGGTTTAGTATATCTGAGGTGGAAATGCAAATTCTCAGCAAAGGGGTCAAAGTGAGATGAACTGATTCAAGACCCGGCTTGAATCATCATGACATCATTTACCTCAGGGAGAGAGTCTATTCAGTTCTACCTAGGGGAAATAGCTCCAGTGGATCTCAATGAACCACATATCTGTGCATAGGACTGACTAGTCAAAAACTTTAGACAGAATATCAGTGCAGTAGGGCATCAAGCAGTCTCTTCTAAACCATAGATTGCAAATTCATAAAAGACTGAGATTCAACTTTGTTTTCTTTTCCAGTAGCCCCAATGAAATCTCCTGCCCTCTCTGAACTTCTGTTTCTTCATTTCTGAAATGGGGGCAATGCTTTCATATTGAGCTCACCCCAAACTACCTCACAGAGGTGTCGTGAGGATTAATGAAATCATGTCTACAGTGTTTTCGGTTTCTGGGGAAAAATATTTATAGACATTTGAAGTATTACATAAATATATAAGTGATCTCAGTTTGTTTGCTCTTATATTGGTGTGTTTTTTCTACTTAAATCTATGGAACTGAACTGTGTTGTAGCCATATCAGACAGTAGTTACAGCTCTGGACTAACCCAGTATAGCTGATCAACTGCAGGGTTAACCGTGCCTGAGACCTTGAATGATGATTTGCATCTCCAAAAGAAAGAATGGCCTAGGACACGGATCTTGCAGACAGGATCCAGAAAGTCAGAGTAATAGTACAGATACAAGAACACCAAGGACAGTGGACTTCTGGCCTTTACCATACTGGGGTCTCCTGGGTCCATTACTGGATTTAATTTTGGTTTATGTCATCTGTTTGCCCTTCATCTTGCTTCCAAGGGTGCATGGTTCAATCCCTCGCATCTGGGAAATGAATTTTGCAACTGGGCCAGATGCTAATTTGCACGTTGATTCACCTTCTTTGCCTTTAACTATTTTTTGGCAAATGAATGTATCACTTCAACCTTGATTTTAAAAGTGGTAGATGATATTGGTAGCATTGCTAACCAAGAGACCAATGCCAGATTGTTTTTCTAGGATGAATTACCCAACGTTATTCGAAGATGGGAAGACGTGCAACTTCTTTGATATTCGATGTCCTTATATCCACATTTGTTGTAAGACATATTATACTGATTATAATTGTATTAAAGTTGTTAAAGGCTTGCATCTGTCTGTAATGATTCACATGTTGTGTGTTTTGTTATTCATACCATCCAGTGGACAATACTCATATGAAGTAGCCCTGGCTTGTTCTTTTAAAAAAAAAAAAAAAAAAAATCCCATGTCAATAAATACTTTCTGCAAAGGAGAAAGATCTTTCTGATCTTAAAACAGAATTGAAGAATGTCAGAATTGAAGAAAGTTTCCAAGTAGTAATATTATTCTTGCCTATATTTTGTGCCTTATAAAATAGACAATAAAGAACACTTTGATTCAATGAGTAGATGGCAGTACATAAACAAGTCATATTAAGCCATATTAGTCTCACAGTCCATTTGATAACTGCTTCACTCCTCTTCAAGAAAATCAAATTTTCAGCATACTCATCCTTACTAGATAGTCATCCAGAATATAATTTCAATCCCAGAAGCTAAACGATGATTATTGATTCTTGACTAAAAACAGCAATAACAAATCCTGTTACACATTTTGCTCTTTAAGAGAAGCATGGAACCACCTGAAAACTAGAACTTGTTGATTAGTTGATGGACACAAAATTAAAGTCAGATTTAATAAGTTTAGTTTCCGTTTTCCAGTGGCCCAGCTTGGAAGGTCCACTGGGAAGAGTGAAGATGGAAGATGGAGACCAATCATGTTTAGCCCCTTTCCCCTCTATTATTCAGTCATTTCTTCTGCCATGGACACAGAAGCAACTAAAAACTTCATTATTCAAAGCTATCTTGAAAAAAATAAGAATCAATCAGAGAGCACTTTAAGTATATATAGAAATAAAAGGCTTAACAATAAAGTTGGATCCAACTCATAGCAACCCCTCCTTGGATTTCCAAGGCAGTATCACTACAAAAGTAGATTGCCCAATCTTCCTTCAGAGGAGTGGCTGGTGGGTTTAAACCACCAGCCTTCTGGTTAGCAATCAAATGCATTAGGTACTACGCCACCAGAGCTCCCAATAGTGTGTATAATGTTTATATATTATGGAATTCTTGGATCCAAATATTTTTTTCTGCATTATAGCTTTTCCAAGTAAGAAAATATTCTGTTTAAATCACTTAGTAATCTATCTGTGATGTCTTATTCTCTGAAATTCAATGGTACTCAT